GGAAAAAGTTAGAAAAATATTATAGCTAGTAGACAGTAGACCTGTGCGCACAAACTCGTGCACTATAATTCTAAACTAAAAAGAAAGTTAGTCTTCTTTAAGACCGACCACCGTGACCTAAATTCCGTCTGAAAGATGTTAATATTGGAATCACGCTGCAGCTGTATTTTGGCTGCAGCACAAACGGGTCGAGAATTGACGTAGGTTTATATGGGCCACCTTATCCACGTATGTGCTCTTTAGTCACTCAATATTAAATTTTAGCGCCAAGGTTCAAGAAATTATTTGGTATTAATTTACTATTATTTTTCACGTATAAAAGGTAGTAATTTTAAAAACTGAGCTAAAAGATTATTCAAATAGAAGAGAATAAGCCGTATATAAGCGCTCTACTTTTAATTCTGTCCCATTTTACGGGATCATATAAACCATGACCATAGAAATAAGTTCGCAGAAACAAATGTTATATAATTTTTTTATAGAATGTGGATGGTAACCAAGCACATTCTATAAAAAATTACACACATTATACACAGTCCACCTAATATTAAGAAAATGCTGTATTCCTCGAATAAGAATCCTCGAATAAGAATGCCTGCCTGTTTCTAATGAAAAGGTTCTCGGGTGTTCTACACTTACCTTAGGAAACACAGAAGTATTAAGCTGCTATTGTACGCTGGTATTTTGTGAGACATGGAAGTCAGACATAATCTCCCCGACCCAACATATGCGTATATTGCGGTGAGGAGCACACCGCGAAGGAAATTCCCTCGTGAAATAAGCAAATATATTGAACTAATATACACATTAAATTGTATGGTTTTAAAATTTTAATAAATTGCGTCTATATATTATATTGTATAAGTCTTTGAAAACCCCACCGCAGGGGGTTGACATCTTACGCATGCCCGTGTGTCAGCCGACCCCGTGAGCCCATTTGGCAATTAAACGCACCTTGTTTCATGCTGTTTCAATCTTTGAACAATATAGATTAAAGACAAGATCGTAATGTAACGTTTTCAAACATTTTCGAATTGAACATTTTCGATTGTATTCACCTCTTTTTGTTATGTCGCGTAAAAGGAGGTAGATCTTAAAAATTTTGTTGTGTGAAAAAAATATTTAGATGGGTTTTGATTTTTTAATCTCTTTTTAAATAATGTTATACTGTTATCCAAATAAAATAAATACCTTTTTATATAATGGCTTACTCTCTATGTACAAGAAACCGGCAAAATTACGTCAGATCATTTTGAAATGAGATTGATAATAATGATTTCTTATATTTACGCGCCGTGTAGTGGCGGTCAAGAATATGAACTACCCCATATCCTCCCGTGGGTGTCGTAAAAGGCGACAAATGGAAACAGGCAGGAGATGGGCAGCAGCATCTTCCTGAAAATAGCCAAAATTACAATAAAAAAACTGCGGTTGCCAACCCGCTCGCCAAGCGTGGCAACTATGGCAAATACCCCCCAATGATCAAAGCAACAAACAGACGGCCCCCAGTCCCCGGCGGCACCGCTATTCCTGGCTACGGTGGCGACCATGGTAACGGCGGGGCAGGGGGTGCTAAGAATCTCCGGTAGAGGTTCGGTTGCCACCTTAGACGACTCGACCTGGCAACGTACAACGCACGCACCCTGAGGACTGAAGTGAAGATCGTGGAGCTGGAACAAGAGATAGACAAGTTGCGCTGGCATATTATAGGATTATCTGAAGTCCGAAGAGAGGGGGAGGACACGGTAATCCTCGAATCCGGCAACTTACTCTATCACCGGGTGGGCGACCATCTGTCCTAAGGAGGTGTCGGATTTATCGTCCACAAGTCTCTCGTTAACAACGTTGTAAAGATCGGGAGTGTGTCGACGAGGGTTGCGTACCTTATACTCAGAATCACCAAACGGTATTCGTTGAAGGTCATATAGGTTTACGCACCAACCTCGGCACACCCCGATGAGGAGGTGGAGGAAATGTATGAGGATATATCTAGAGCCATGCATTCCTCCAAAACCCAATATACGGTGTTAATGGGAGACTTCAATGCAAAACTAGGCACAAGAGAGAACGGTGAGCTGAAAGTAGGGAAATTTGGAATAGGGCAACGGAACCCAAGGGGCCAGCAGCTGGCCGACTTCATGGAGAAACAGGGACTCTTTATGATGAACTCTTTCTTCCAGAAGCGGCCCCACAGGAAGTGGACCTGGTCGAGCCTCGACGGTTCGACAAAAAATGAGATTGACTTCATTATGACGACCAGACGACAACTGTTCAGTGATGTCTCCGTGATCGCGAGGGTGAAACCTGGTAGCGATCACCGAATGGTTAGAGGCACACTGAACCTAAACGTTAAGTTGGAGAGGTCTCGTCTAATGAAGTCAACGCTCCGTCCCCCTCGTGCTCTGTTCCAAAGTCTCGAAACCTTTCAGCTCGAGTTACAAAACCGTTTTCAGTGCCTAGAAGACTGCAATGAAGTAGACGATATGAACGACAAGCTCGTGGAAACTGTCCATGCGCTCGGAGCTAAGTTCTGCAAGACCCGCCGCAGAAGAACACAAAAACTCTCCGATCACACTCTTAATCTTATGGCTGTCAGACGGAAGATGAAGCTACATTCTTCAACAGATTTGACAGCATACAGGCAACTGAACAGACAGATCTCCAAATACATGCGGCGGGACTTACGCAACTTCAATACAGCTCGTATTGAAGAAGCGATCGAGCGGAACCAAGTCTCCAAAGTCTTTGCACGAGATCTGTCTGCCAGAAAGAGCCAACTGTCAAAGCTGAAGACCGAGTGTGGCAGCATGGTTTCCGGGTCACCTGCGATTTTGGGTAAGATTGAGAGGTTCTATGGGCAGCTGTAGACGTCATCGTTGGAGCCACACGCAAGTGTGAGTAACGATCCAAGAGCGAGTCTCATCCGACACTATTCCGAAGATATCCCGGACGTCAGTCTGAGCGAGATTAGAATGGCTCTCCAGCACCTTAAAAACGGCGAGGCCCCAGGCGAGGATGGTATTACAGCGGAGCTTCTGAAAGCGGGTGGAAGACCGGTACTTGAAGTCCTTCAGAAGCTCTTTAATTTCGTCCTCCATGGTGGCATTACACCGGAGGCGTTGAGCAGAAGTGCGGTGGTCTTGTTCTTCAAGAAAGATGACAACGCTCTCTTGAAGAACTACAGATCGATTTCCCTTCTGAGCCGCGTCTACGTGCTGTTTTCGAGAGTCATTACGAATCGTCTCGCGCGCAGACTTGACGACTTCCAGCCTCCCGTACAAGCCGGTTTCCGAAAGGGCTTTAGCACCGTAGACCACATACACACCCTTCGGCAAATTGTACAGAAGTCCGAAGAGTACAATTTGCTACTATGTCTGGCGTATGTGGACTATGAGAAAGCCTTTGATTCCGTCGAAATTTGGGCAGTGCTGCAGTCCCTTCAGCGGTGCTAAGTTGACTGTCGGTATATCGAAGGCCTGAAGTGTTTGTACAATAGAGCTACGATGGCTATCCGAGTACAGAACCAGAGTACGAAACCTATCCAATTGCATAGAGGTGTAAGACAGGGTGATGTTATATCCCCGAAACTCTTCACCGCTGCATTGGAAGACGTTTTCAAACTTCTGGACCTGAAAGGATACGGTATTAACATCAATGGCGAGTACATCACTCATCTTCGATTTGCCGACGATATAGTCCTTATGGCAGAATCGCTGGAGGACCTAAGCACTATGCTTAATGACCTCAATAGTGTCTCCCAACGGATAGGTCTTAAGATGAACATGGACAAAACAAAGATTATGTTTAATGTCCATGTCACACCTATGCCGGTAGTTGTTGGGAGCACTAAGCTCGAAGTTGTTGCCGAGTATGTTTACCTGGAACAAATAGTCCGACTAGGTAAGTCCAACTACGACCAAGAGGTCAATCGACAGATTCAACTCGGCTGGGCAGCGTTCGGGAAGCTACGACACATCTTCTCGTCAGACATACCTCAAAACCTTAAAACGAAATTGTACAACCAGTGCGTGTTGCCAGTGATGATTTACGGAACTGAGACGTGGTCCTTCACTGCTGGCCGTATGAGGAAGCTCAAGGTTGCTCAGCGAGCTATGGAGAGGTCTATGCTCGGAGTTTCTCTGCGTTATAAACTTAGTAATGAGTATATCCGCAGTAGAACCAGAGTAACCGACATAGCCCAACGGATTAGTAAGCTGAAGTGGCAGTGGGCCGGTCATATAGCTCGAAGAACCGACAACCGATGGGGAAGAAAGGTTCTCGAGTGGCAGCCTCGTACCGGTAGGCGAAGTGTAGGGCGACCCCCCACGAGATGGAGTGACGACCTGGTAAGACATGCAGGAAGTCGATGGATGCAGGTGGCTCAGCACCGTGCTTTGTGGCATTCCTTGGGGGAGGCCTATGTTCAGCAGTGGACTTATGAAAGGCTGTAATGATGATGATGATGATGATGATGATGATGATATTTACGCGAACACTACACATTGAATAAAACTATTTTCACGGATTTTATCGCGTTTAATTAACTTATTTTATATTCCCGACGTTTCGGTTGCTTTCGAAAACGTCGGGAATATAAAATAAGTTAATTAAACGCGACAAAATCCGTAAAAATAGTTTTATTCAATGAGATTGATAGTATTATAGAAGTAGAATTTAATATATATAAAGTAGAATTAAGTACCTTTATTCATAATGAATCGATGCGTATAAGATTTTTAAATAAATAACATACAAAATTAAAAATACATCATTGTTTACATTAGCTCCGACCGGTATCACGCGACCTCCCGAATGGCCCATGACACTTAAAGCGTAAAAACATAAAACGGTCGGGTACATGACGGAATAAAAGGCAGATAACAAGCCATTATAAATTGAAGGGAACTAATTTTCATTTATCACAAAATTGTTATCATTCAAACAATTCAGTAAAATCTTTTACGATTTTATTTTTGATATTCCGTAGTTACACTCGATAGATGATTCCGTCAATATGGCTTGTGTTATTAACATTTATATTAGTGATATTGTACAACTATATTAGAAAAAATACTCGACGATGGAAGAACCTAAGCAAGTTTCCTGGAAATCTACCTCTACCATTAATCGGAAATGCTTTAGAAATTGGATTTGATGCTGATGGTACTGTGTTTTTTTAATTTTTTTGTCAGATGAGAATTGTACCGTGTAGTATCGGCACCAAAAAGAGTCCAGCGTCCTATCCGTATATGTCCTTCTGATCGATGGTGGTATATCCAACTCGTTCATACCTCTAAAATACCCAGACTGGCTTCAGCGTCAAAAATATTAGACGTCTGGTAATTATTTAATACGATTGCTAATCCGTTGAGGTAAATAGCCCATCAGTAGACTCTAATAGAATGATAAAGAAAAATGAGAAATAATAATATGTTAATAGATCAGGATATATTATGTTTCAATTGTGATATAAATATTTATCCGCATAACCAACAAGAATAATACTACTCCCACGACTGGGTATAGTCCTTCTCTCATTTTGAGAGGGCGGAGCAATTACTCGAGCGTGTTAGCATTGCAGATTTTACATGTATTCGAAAATATTTTTCCTTGAGACGTACAGTTTTCCTCAAAATGTTCTTTTACCGTCGAAAACATGGTAAAGTATCCCTATCAGGATAATTCGCTCTAGAATCTTCACAGTTGTAATCAATGCATGTTATTAAATTTTCTTAAACTTTCATTTATTAATTTATGTTTATCCTAATTTAATTAGCTCTTACGTACATCGAATTCAAATCTTATTATAGTATTGTATTTATGTTGCATTCCTTGTGAGAAGACTACGTTCAGCAGCACAGCTCTTCACAAGTTGAAAAGGGCTTTTATCATAATGACGACGATGTGATGATAGTATTGTATATTATTTAAGACTCCAGTATTTGATAACTTTTGTAAAACAATATATATTTATTTTATATCTATATGAATATGAAAACTCATTATGTAGATATGTTTGTAGAGGTATCCCACAAGCTAATGGAAATGTGGAGAAGATATGGAAAAGGCAATTTCCGGTTAACTGTTGGATCTGAGGACTGGGTGTTCTTATCTGATGCTGATGATGTCGGGGTAAGATCTAACATATATTTATATAAAAAAAAAAGGTTTTGCATTTACAAACCATAAATACATGCTTGTGACTTTCAATTCTCGCTCATGTTTAAACTAGCTTTTCGCCCCGCAGTTATATCCGCAAAGTTGTAACGTCCAGAAAGTCATGACCCACGCTTTTTGAGACATCGAATAATATGAAGATTTTAGGTCAGACTTAAGGCCTTTCAAATAGTGAAAATCGCTCTAACAATCTTTCTCTTCGTACAAAACACAGGAAACCAAATACCAATTTGTATCGGTCGATTTAACAAAATTGGTTGGTTACGCTTTGCCCACACTATAGCAAAGGGGAGAATTATTAAGTAATGTTGTGAAAAGCCTGGGTTAAAACCCCGAAGTAGCGCCATATTTAATTTTGCAGCTCATACTTATATATCCACAATATGACGTTCTTCTTTCTCGTCGCATCAGAGGGTACGGGCAAAACATTCGTGCTGAATTTACTGCTGGTCCAGCTTCGCAAGAATCACAAGAAAGACTTGACTGTAGCTTCCTTGGACATCACTTTAACATTTCTCAAACATTGGCTTGCTCATTTGGCATTAAAATTGCAAATTAATCTTGTAAGCGAAGAAACACGAACTTCCAACATCAGCAAGAGTAGAGGCCATGGCGCTCTCTTTAAGCAGTACAAGTTAATCAGCAATCAGGTTAATTTTAACGAGCGGCGCTTTCATTTTGCTCGTAAGTGAGAAATATTGATAGTTTTTTGAGAGAGGCACACTGGCACATGAAATAAACGTATGTCTCTATGCGTCGCCACTTTATTCCAGGGTTAAAAAAAACAAATCTAACGAGCAACTTGGTCATTTGCAAATGCAAGTAAGCTGCTACAAATCAAAGAAATTAAAAATTATTATTTGGGGTAATATTTATATAGTTTTCTCATGTAGTTAGGCTGTATAAATATATATATGAAAAGTTATTATTATTATTAATTTTGACATTGAGTGACAACAGAAGACTTATTTATCTTAAATGTATAATGAATCATATCTAATGAATAATAATGATTGGTACCTGAAAGAGCAGTGTTGTCGTTAATATCACCTCATAATGAAATAAATAAAAAATAGACGTATATACCACAAAGAGAGATAGTTTAAGACTCATCGATAGACACAGTAATATTACCACTGACGACAGCTCTGATTCCTCAACATCTTGGATTTAACGGCGGTGCCTACGCATAAGCAGAAGCTAAAAGTTAGCATCAAAATTCTGCTCACTAGTAACCTTGGTACACTAAGATTGTGCAACTACAAAATGACACCAGGGTATCCAGGATATATTAATGGAGCAGCCAAAGGAGAATATGTTTTAATTCCCAACAAAAACAAAACACCATTTCAGTTTAATTGCTAATGTCACCAATAATAAGGCCAGACTTTAAAAGTAGTGGGTCTTCATTTGATACTCCGTGTTTTTAACTTTAAACTTTATGTTGGCTGTTCGAAGGTCTCGAGCTCCTATAACTAGCACGTGCTGGCGGATAAAATTAATCATACAATATGTTTTACAGGTTAATTTTACTTTTAATCCCCCCATTTACTGCGTTGAGGTTCTTATTTAACGCCCCTGTAATGGCGATATAAGAATATATGTGCACATTAAGCGTTATTTGTACAACATATTATTAATACGTATTACTATTTGCAGATAATTTTAAGTCACCCTACTGAACTTGGAAAACCCTTGGAAAGGAACGCAGCAATGATGCCGTTTTTTGGAAATTCTGTTTCAACGTCAGAAGGTATGCAGAAAACATTATTATAATTTATAATGTTTTTTTTTTCCTAAAATACAATAAAACCAAAACGTTTTTCAATTTATTTTTATTGTTAAATTTTTATTCTTATTACAGTAGCATCACTTTATTTTTTGCATATTTTTTTTTCTGAAATCTAACTTAGGTCAATTTATTGATAAAAATTAAATACTATCATTTATTTTTATATTAGGAGAAAGATGGCGATCCACCCGCAAACTTATGTCTCCAAGTTTTCTATATAAAACATTAGAAAAGAAAATAGACGTTGTAAATGTTTATTGCGAACGTCTGTTCAATATATTTGATGATTATGTGGATAAAGGGAGCATAGATATGTATCGCTACTTGCGACCTTTTATGTTTGATATTTTATGTAGTAAGTACAAAATTAAACATTTAATAATTTGTGGTAATATTACAATCAACCCTTATTAGTTTTTTTTTAATAGGATAGGGTGACAAACGAGCACACAGTCCACCTGATGGTAAGTATTTGCTGCGGCCCATAGACATCTTCATCTATCCTCGTTTGCGAATCAAAATATAGATACGTTTTCACCCGTGAGGACTAAGATGGAATGCGTCTTTCCCAGTAAAAAGGGTCTCCGGTTCTCTACACTCACCATACAAAACACAGCAGTGTTAAGCTGCTATTTTAAGCTCGTATTCTGTGAGAGCGTGGTCCTACCCCGATCGAGCCGACCCATTCGAGCTACAACTATACTACTAATATAGCTGCAGCATGGCTCTACCACGTAAAAAAATAGTAAATAATTTAAATGTTTTTTCGTATTTTAGATTCACTAATGGGAGTTAATTTAAATCTTCTTGATAATCTGGATCATCATTACTTACAAGCTGGTGCAAAGTACGTTGCATTATGATTATTACTTATTTTTAATATTTACTTTCATCTAATTTCTTAATATTTTCATTAATTTTCAATGTTTTTGTTTTAGAGTTGTTAAAATCATCACTGTTAATTACTTCTCGTATTGGAGAAATATTCGTCCGTTATTTGTATTAACCTCATATTATAGAGAAATGATGGCTACCGTTAAGACTGTTCGGGATACAAGCACAGATGTAACGTTAATGGAATATGTTTTGTATACTTAATGTTACTTATATTAGGAAAAAATACATTTAAATATTATTTAATATTACAGATAATAGCCAAAAGGAGAAAAAAGTTACAAAACTTTCTTGAATATACAAAAATTAATAACAAAAATGTACACACTGCGGTAGACAAAATAATCAACGAAAAGCTATCAGATGATAGCTATCTTTTAGATAAGTTTATTCTCAGTAAATCGATTAACGGGGATTCCATTCCAGACGAAGTAATAAATGACGAAATTAGCCTTCTATGTTTCTCGGTATTTTTTAATATATTTATTTGTTTTATTTATATAGTTCTATTAAAAAGTTACTATTACTGGCAATGTTTTATATAGTATAACTTTGATTACTGGTAATATAACTTCTTTGACAGCCCGTAAAATTCCCTCCCTTTAAAGGGAGGATTTGTCCTCGCTCTTGGGCAGCGCACCATTCCATATGGCATGTGAGCATATCCGATAATAATAATAATAATAATTTCCTACAGACCGAATTTCGGTCACGGCGGCCATTGTCAACGGAGACTAGCTATCTGCCGAGGACAGGGTTATAGTGCTCAAGTGTATGCGCAAGCACAGGTGCACTCTCTATTCCCTCACTCTCAATATCCGATGGGACGGTAAACCGACACGACCGGAGAGAGATCAGATCACCGCACACCTTCCTGACTCCGGGCAGCAACTGAGAATTTCTTGATGGAAAAGCTCAATAACTGATTTTTTGGGCCGACCCGGGATTCGAACCCGGGACCTCATGATCAGCAGTCGCACTACTACAACCACTAGACCAACAAGGCAGTCAAATGGCAATCCGATTATAATGTTTAAGCGTATCCTTACGCTTAGTTTATCCCAAATGTAGGCACATTGTGTGTGTGACTGTCTCCTATGCAATTGCTAGATTCCCATTAAGAATGCCAAGCGTGGTAGCCACCTATGCGGCAACCTATAATGGAGGCCCGTGTTCAGCAATGGACTTTAATAGGCTGTGACGATAACGGAGAGTTTTTGCTTTGATGCTAATAGGATTTTACTTTTGTTATTTTCTGATTCTTGTGAAGTAACTGGATAGGCTGATTCTGAGTTCAACGTTCATTTCACCCTTTTTTCATGCTTTATGCATATCCACTTTTTAAGCTTATATCTCTTCTTGCTCAGTGTTATTATTTCGTTATATGAAAACTATCTATATATGAGCTTTCTCTTTTTTAAGTTGTTGGCGTAAAAACTACCGTATTTCAATTAAAAGAGATGTGTTGTAATAGCAACGTGTATATATATATATATATATATATATATATATATATATATATATATATATATATATATATATATATAATTATCACATATGTGGACACGATCAATAACTTTGCGATCGCAGCAAACAAAAGCGCGAGACGCATTGAAGTAGTTTATGTATGTGCTAGATTAATTAAATACGAGTAAACAGAGTTACTCAATTGTTTTAAACGGAAATCTGAAGGAGAATATTATGTCAACTTCACCTGTATGCTTAGAGCGTTAATCTAAGTATGAATGCATTGCCGTGCTGTACCACTCTGATTACTGGACTGGTGGCGGAGAGACTATTTACAAAACGCTGAATCACAATTTTATACCCTGGTACACTATGCCACCTGCTCAGCGGGGTGAGTGTAGGCAAATTCATTAACGTCATCGTCATCCTGTAAATACGCCACTGCATGTCATAGTAGGGATAAATAATATAATTTTAATAAATTTAATATTACAATAATATTTACTGTAACGAAAATTACAGGGTCATTACACAATGACAATGACATTGAGTCATACACTTTATTGCTTAGCAAAATATCCAGAAGTGCAGGAGAGAGTATATGAAGAACAACTATCTGTATTTAATAATGACATTTCGAAGAAACCTACTCAACAAGATTTAAGTGAAATGAAGTATCTTGAAGCTGTCATCAAGGAAAGCTTACGTGTAATACCAACGATTACGAAAATTGGAAGGCAGCTGAAAAATGATGTTGTATTAAAAGGTAAATATTGTTTTCATGCTGTTAAAAGAAATTACGTGTATATGCAGTGCACCCGGTGGTTAGTGGCTTCTGGATACCGTGCACACCTACAGCTACACTTCAAATAACAAGGCTACATAAGCTGTTTTGTCACTTATGAGGACTAAGATGAAATGCCTTACAAGCAGTAAAAGTGCACAGGACGCACTACGTAAAGTCTTAGCGTTTTCGAGCAAAATTAAAGTTTTCATTTTAACATAGTGTTTCAATTAATAAAACTACCGTTTTTAAAGAATAAGGGTGACATGCGAACCACACATTCTACTTGAAGGTAAGTAGATGCAGTGACCCATAGACATATATCTATCTTCAATTTAGATTCAGAATACAGATGCGTTGTCATCCCTGAAGATTATTTCATTACTAGAAAAAAGGGTCTCAGGTTATCTAAAATCACCATACGTACATACGAACACAGCATTATTCTGCTATCTCACGCTGGTATTCGGTGAGAGCGTGTTGCTACCCAGGTCAAGTCGTTTCGTTCGTAATGCAGGCATACTATAGCTGAAGCGTGAACTTACCACGTAAAATAACTCTATTAAAATGTAGAAACATAACAATTAGTTTTTATAAAATTATCGTAAATGTCGAAAGGACATAGTGACCGTTTTTGCTTAGGTAAATTAACTAATAAAGGCGTCTTTCAGGAAAACAAGGCGGGGAGTTGTCTTTGTGTTGCTACACAATCGGCGAAACTCCATTACAGTTGACTCATCGTCAAAGCACTTTGTCGTTTTTTTTTAGCACAATCTTATCGACTGAGCTCCATTACCGAAAGCGAATCCCCGCCAGATTCTCATGAAGAGCAATTTCAAAATAAAAATATTTGAAATTTAAGTGTTAAATTTTCAATGTATTATCCAGCCTGTACGATAACTTGCTAGAGGCACATGAGTACAGAAACCGTACCGTACAGAGGCATAGTTTCATACAACCGCGCTATGATAGGTTAGGTTAGGCACTGGCTGCTCGGCAAGTGCTCAAACTCAGGGCTATGTAAAAAATAATAAGTGTAAAGTTTTGTTTTTGTAAGGAACTATTCGAGTTCAATGAAATATAAAAAAGTGTAAATATGGTTTAATATACTTGTTTGTATGAACAATAACAGAACATATATAAATATATAATTTTATAGTTAAAAGAAAAATAAAAAATAGTACAAAGGCTCAAACAGGTAAGTATATATAGTATATTATATACTATACTATAATTTATCAATTTAATGTGGTAGATTTAGAATTTAATAGTTCCGTTTATAAGTTATATGTTCATGTCTTTTGTATTATTTTAGACGACAAGAGTGGTTAAAAGCTGTCGGACGAAAAGATCTCCTTTCAAAACTTTTCCATTATAAAAATTGTGAGGATTACTTCGAAAAATCCTGTCCTTGAATGTAAAAAAAAAGATCGTAAAATATTTAGTTGGAAATGCTTTTCTAAAGCTCAACTTGCTGACAACTGACGGTGCTCGTTCAAGTTACAATCAATGTAAAAATGTATCTGAAATAAATGTATGACTTGCTTGAGCAAAAATTTCGCGAATATTTTGATCTCGAAAGAAACATTGTAAATATAGGTAGGTAATGAATTATTTAAACATGTGCAAGATTGTATATTTGTTATATCATGTGAGTGCTTTCTAATAGATTATTTTTTAAAATAAACGACGTTAGATTTATAATTTACCATTTAATATAAAGGCGCAACAAAACTTGAAGAAAAAAATTATAAAAATATAATATTTAAAATAAAAATAGTTAATAAAAAATATAATGCATTAAGTATTATTATAAAAGCTGACAAACGTTTTGTTATTTAATTTTATCCTTCTGTGCCAACCTTACAAAAATATTTTAAAATTTTGACAGCTCCTTAGAAGCTTTGCCTCTCTACGGTTTCTTTACTCATGTGCTAGAGTCAAACAGCGCTAAAATAATATGTAGACTTAATTAATAATTTCTTAGCCATTAATTGACGAAATATTTTTCTTTACTGGCTTATTAATTTTGATTTACATTTAATTTCTGTAAAGTTCTATATATTTTCATCAACATCATGAAATTTCTCCGTTGAGTATAATGTATCTAGTTTCTTTTTAGTATCATCCTCCTTGTATACGGATTTGGTGCTCTGGATGCATATCAGTAGGTCTATAGCGAAGTAGTAGTCTTTAAAATGTTTTTGATTAAACATGTCATTTATTTTCAGATGGTCGAATTGTTCCTGCAGGAAGCTCAGTAATAATATTTATCGAAGCAATGTCTGTTGATCCCAAAGTGTTTTCACAACCCGAAGACTACAACCCAGATAGGTTTTTAAATAACCTTCCCCAATTTGCTTTTGTGCCATTTAGTGCAGGACCTAGGAATTGCATAGGTAATAAACTTATTAAAATATTACTGTGGGCATACATTGACGGCCTCACTTGTAATAGTTGATTATCGCTTACTTAAAATAAGTATTAATTATTTCTTTATCAGTCTATTTGTTTTGTCATTAAGAGATGAGAGATACAGGAAAAATGTAGAATTTATTTTTTATGTCTAGGTTTCCGGTATGCCTGGGTGGCGATGAAAACAACACTTTCGAACATTTTGCGCAATTACGAAATATTACCTGGGGAACCGGGAACGGAGCCACAATTTAAATATAGAATAGTTACTGAATCTGCAAATGGTGTAAAATTGAGGTTGAAAAAAAGGAAACACTAACATTGGTACACTTTAGGATGAGAATTGCATTAACAGTACAAAAAATATTTTCTTGTAGAAATAAAGACATCTTCAGTACAACGCCATGCTAAAATGTTAGAGAAGGATATATTTCAACAGACTAATAAATAATCAAATAACACCCTTATTTTTAAGAATTTTTTACATATTCATTTAGCCATTATAGTATATGGAATACGGGTTTTCGTCCCGACAACAATATGATTGTTATATTATCGCCGATGATTCTTACAAAACTGAAGTGACAGCCTAACTTACAGTCCACCTGATTGTTCCAGAGACAAAGAAGGCTAAAGAAGAGACTCTCTATACCGCTCAGACTAGAGTACAGCAGTGAAAGCATTGTTATTTGGCGGACCTACCTAGACGGACAGGCAGGCAAGGCAGAAAAGAAGTCCTAGTACGCGTACCTAGTAAATTAATGAAAACATTCTAAAGAAACTAGTACAACTGAGTAGGAACGATCTGGACTAAAACTAAAATTAACAAAAGATGTCTCTCAATTATGAGACTTTCATTAAATTGACCTATCTAAAGTGTTTTAATTAGCTTTTAAGTACTTGTTACCTTTTTAATTACAACTCATTCTAAATCATCTGCTGAAATTTTGGTGGGCCTTTACCATAAATTACTACAAATCACTATCCAAAGCCACCTGCATTCATCGAGTAACTGCATATCTAATCTGGTCGTAACTTCATGTAATAGATAATAGAGGGTTGCTAAATACTGCAATTGTCTGTAAGCATGAAACACATAGCAGTGCCAAATGAGGCATTTCATCTTAGTCTTCGAGGTTGACAATGAATATATGCATTTTGATCCTTAATTTATGATGTAGATGTCTACGGGTCCATATTATAAAAAAGAACTTGGTCTTTTTTTTCCCATCCATAGAGGTAGAATAATTCATCCATATTTAGGTTGGACCTTTACAACAAGAGAATAAATAATTAAATTCGATTTATATTCCTAGATGATAAATATCGCTTAGTATACATACAAAAAAACGAAAATACAGTTGAATCGAGAACTCCAACTTTTTTTGAAGTCGCCTAATAATGAGACAAGATTTTAAGAAACTGTACAATCAAAACATATAATAATAATTGATAAATGCACGTTATCTCGTCTTTTTTCAATATTCTGTGTTATGATTCATTCTTACTCACATATTCGGCCTTATTGCAAAATTAAGTTTATAATTTCAGGTTTAAAATAAAATCTATTTCACAAAAAACGTCTCGCGAAAATCATAGAGCAGCACTGGCTACCAACCGATCGGAGGGGAGTAGCCATATGCAGGCGTTCCCTTGTCTCTGACTCCTCTGACATAGGGTATTACAGCAGGCACACGCTCGAATGTGATCGGCTTCACTCGGTCATTGTGACTGTGTGTTTTCTCTCAAAAGGAAATAAGGCATATTTAGACCACCTTAATTCCATAAACTCTAAGATACAATTCACATTGGAGTAAGAGATAAACAATTCTTTAGCTTTTCTAGATGTTTTAGTAATCCGAAATCCTGATAATACTATTGCTCACACTGTGTATAGAAACAGACCCATACCAACCGATATTTAAAAAGTAAATTTCACCAACATCCATCACAGTTAGCTACCGTGAGAAAATCTTTGTTTCAGAGAGCACGAGGGATCTGTGACAGAAAACATCTGGCGTGTGTCTGCTGTACTACCCTATGTCAAAGGACTCACAGACAAGGTATGCTACATCTTCAAGAAAGCTTTCAAGCCGCCGAAGAAGATTTGTCAATTTTTCCATCCGTCTAATGTCATATTCCTCTACAAGATGCAGGAGTGTACAAGCTGGATTGTGGATGTCGTCTCTCTTACATAGGAGAAACGAAGAGATCTACAAAAGCCCGCGTAAAAGAACATATAGATGACTTAAAGCACCAACGTTCCGGGAGGTCTGCAGTCTGTGTACATGTTTCCGCCATTACATAAGATTTGGTAGACCACAAATCCTCGCAAAAGAACACCGATTCATACCAAGGATGATTCGCGAGGATATTGAAATATTGGATGGATGCTGCCATATGCTTGAAATTATAAAAACACCCTAATTTCAATAGGGAAGGTCATCTAAACCCAAGCATATCACTGCAAGACTTTAAGATACTGTTACCTCATTCTGCGTAGATCGGACCAAAAATTAATATTCAAAAACTGAAGGAAGCCGGGCTAACTATGACATCGGGACGTCCAACACTTCAGCCCTCCCCCCCCCTCCCACCCACCATGACCATGAATACTGTAAATCATCCGAAACGTCAGGAATAAAAAAAATGAAAAGCGATAGGATCCGTAAAAATTAGCTAAAAATAAGTGAACGTAGTAAGTAAGAAAGGAAGATCCTCCCTATCCCGCAAATGAAAAAGTAAACCTGTAGTAGTAATGCATACAAGTCGTATTTTTGATAAAATATTTTTAACAGTATGCAATAACTATACAAAGTTATAATGCAGCTAGTTTGAGATAATTTCCTATGGACTTGTAACGAAATTTTTACTAACCCAAGCGCATTTTATAAGTTGGTCGACTGTTACTCGTTAACTTCTTAATTCTACCCTTCTTAATGATACCCCACATAATGGAATAGACGGATAAAAAAATCATCCACCATTTACTTGTATGGTAAGTACCCAAAAAATGTTTTTTAAGATTTTATTTCACAGTTTTCTAGTCGTGATTAATATCTATGCCAAATTACAGGTAGCACCTAGGGTCTTTGAGAAAAGCTGGGGACGGATGGACGGGCACACGGACATGGCAAAATTAGAAGGGTTCCTTGTTGTGTAACTACGGAATCCTGAAAGCCCGCTGTAAATTGTAAAATTTACAGCGAGAGCTTGCCTCTGAGCTACCACGGCTCTGAAAATAAAATAACTAGAATTACTTATATCTATAATAATATATACTCAACAATCAATATAAAAAAAACTTTTTAGTCTTTACTTAGTAAAATAATTTATCTGTAAAGGTTCATGGCATTGAAAAACTTCTATTCTTATTGCTTTATTCTTTACTTCAATTTCCTTCCGTAATTGCAATGTGAGCAGCTTCCTATTTACAGAAACTGATGCCAAAATCTATTTTCAGGATGGTAATGGTACGGCTCTAGCATACTAGTGACCTTATTTGTACCCAGTTAGGTATACCGTGGCTCGTATGCTCGCTACACGTGCATTGAATTAGGAAAGCTTACCTGCTCTATTGCCTTGCTTAATTGTAACTCTGCGCCCTATTAAGCCCTATTCTATTATTCCTCTATGTACTCTATTGTATTTATTTCAAATTCTAAAAGTAATTGTATTTATTGTAATTATAATATTTATTTTAAATTTTACTATAGAAATAGCTGCATTGATACGTACATATTAATCATAAGACTATTCGAGTTTCAAGTATAATAATTAATTTGGACTTGTTTTGAAAACATGTAATAATTAATTTGGACTTTTTTTGAAAACTTGATAATCATATTGAAAAATTATATCATACAATTATAATTACAAAAATAGACTTGTAATAAAAAGTATAGAGTACGTATAGAAAATAAATATAGATGCGTTGTCAACCCTTAGGACTAAGATGTAATGCCTCCTTTCCAAAAAAAAGAGTCTTTTTTGAATATGCATTATGTATATAATAAAATAAATAGGTTAATACAATATTTTCACACTAAAAACTATCAAAACAAAATAATCTTATACTCCTCCAAATCTTTAGAGTAATTACATACGTACGTATACATAGAGAGAACCTACAATTCTACATAAATTGAGTCAATATACTTGTCTCGATTTTTCTCGATTGTTCAAATAAGGCAAAAAGAGACAAATCTATAGAAAGATATTGCGTGTAATTCATGTGCGGAAATAAAAATGTCAAGTGGTCATCTTTGGTCTCTTCTTCTGATTTACTAGAAACATGACATACTTATTGTACTACGTATTGACATACGCCCGTTTAGGAGTGTCACGTATACGGGATCCGTTGCACTCACTTGGTATTCACCCATCAACATAACATTGTTTTGAATTATTTTGAAATATTACGAAAGACTGTATGACGCTTTAAGTAAAACTGAATTCTTATATCCATGCGATTGCTTTCATCACGAGTTTGAAATGTAAGTATGAGAAATCATGATATCATTAAATTCAACAAAATACAATTAAAATACCTTATAATAAATGTCATTAATGTTTGTAGGTTGCACATCTATAACAGGAGAATAAATAAACAGAACAAACCTATAATTTTAACCTGTTTTATTTATTCTGTTCAACCCCCTATCAAATCATATAATAAACTTAACACCAGCAACTAGCACTAGCCTTTATTTTAAACTACGAATTAGGTGAAGCTGCGGAACGCAACTAGTTTTGTAAAGTAGTAACTAGTTTGTAACTTTTTATAGAAAAATAAACTATTACGAGGAATACTGATAAAGGAAACAACATAAAGCATAATAGTTGATTCTGGTTATTATTTTTTTATATTTTGGTTCCTTTGACAGATTCTAATTTAAATAAGTAATAAAGTACTATACATATTGTAATGAAATATAGATAATTTTATAGTAATTATTTAGATTTACTTAAAAGGTTATTTTAACTCGTGTGAGTACGCCTATACAAAGTTATTGTAGAATGATTAATGTAAACTGCAATAGGTATTTCTTATATTTGTTTGAATATATTGTTACTTTTTTATATTAGCCGACTCTAACAAAAGGAGGACGAACGGAGGAAGGAGAACCCTCCTTTTTTAGTTCCGTAATCAAATAAAAAGTAGCCTATAAGTTGCTATGGGTTATTTCTAGGAAATCTTTCCAGTCGTTTTTGCGTTAGTCGTGAATACATAGACTGATGGACAGAAAGATAGACAGACAAAAATTCTAAAAACCACTAATTTGGCTTCAATATCTTTTGCTTTTAACCCCTGTACTT